GATTAATTAATCCTGTTAAACTCAAACAGGATTAGTTGATCGGCGGCTTCGTTAGCGCAGGCTAACCTGATAACAGCCAAGAGGAGCTTCTTCAGGAAACAGACCCGACCGTCACATGACCTCCCGCGTCACACGGCCCACTTCCTGTGAGGTCACGTGACTCCGTTTGTGGGTCAGTGGGTCTGAGCGGCTTCGACCCTGAACACGTCGTCCTTCAGCGAACAAACTGCTTCTGCAGCTTTTCATCACCAGAAGAGTCGAAGCGTTTTCTTTACGTCATGAAACGCAAGTTTGTAGTTTTTTCTTTTAGCATTTCAGCGTTTTCTTTATCTGCTCTGAGGTTTGTTTTTAGCTTCTTCAGCAAATAGTTTCAGCTTTAATTCACACTGAGATCATCCTCATAACGTTCTGTTTCATCCTTTATCTTTTTTTTTTTTACACGTCAGATCAGTTAAATTTCCAACCAGCTCAACAAAACAAACATTTATTTCTACATTTCTGCACTTTGTAGTTAATTAAAGCAGCGAATGCATCATCTTCATTATCTGCAGCATGAGTTTTATTATCGTGTGTGAAGTAAAATCTGATTTTAAGACAAAATGAAATAGAATAATAAGCGTTTCTCACTTTTTTCTGTTGGTTTTATTTGATTTAATTCCTGTTTCAGTCACTTCTTGTGTTATTTATCAGTTTAAAGATGATGTTGGAGCAGAACCGAGACCTGAAACTCCTCAGCTTTCATTTGTAGCTTTGAGCTCGACCAGACTGTCGCTACGACATCGTTTACTGGTTCCGTTCAGTCTCGTAATCTGAAGGTTGAGTTCGTTTTTCTTATCTGGATTTATAAACTTCTATCTCATCCCAACAGCTCGGAGACATTTTGTTCCGTCAACACTCGTGAACGTCTCGGACAAAACTGTCTTTAATCACAGCTGAGCTCCACGAATCTCCACAAACGAGAAGCAGCAACGAGTCAGAGACCTGCTAATGTCCGACCAGACGGAGACCCGTCACTGAGCGACTCGAAGACGACAGAACACCAAAGAACTTCCAAACTGGTTCCCACCGTTGGACTCGTGAGCTTCAAAGAGTTCAACCACACCAACTGAAACTAAGCAGCATCTAGTGACAGGTCGCTGAGGTTGGTCCTCAGGAGACCAGGAGGACTCGGAGGAAACAGGAAGCGGCGGCGACTCACCTGGAAGTGGTTTTCTTTGTTGGACTGTCGAGACTCTCCTTTATTGCAGGACATCTGGGGACAGAGAGGAAACGTGGCGTGAGCGAGGCAGCTGTGGATGGAGACGCTGGAGGCGCCGGCAGGAAGTTGCATCACTTCCTGCGGCGACGCATCACTTCCTGCAGCCCCCGGGTGTAAAAAGCTTAACGGCCTTTAACATTCCCGCGTCTCCCAGAAACCGCGTCCGGCCTCGGGTTTAATCATTAGCGGGCCGCGCCGCCGCCGCCTCCCGGCTCCTGTTAGCTTTTTGATCGCACGTCACCGATTGGTCCCGGGAGGCGGCGGCGGTTACCGTGGCAACAGGCGGCAATAAACCCGCCCGCACGTCATTAAGCAATCACGAGGAGTTCACGGTTAATGCGGAGGACGGAAATAAAAGCGCTTCAGAGGCTCAGAACGCCGAGACTTTAATGTTCAGCACCAGAGGACGGATCCAGAACACGACGTCCTAAATCCACCAAATACACAAAATATGAAAGAAATCTGATTTTTTATTTGTAAAAATGTTGCTGCTGCTTTCTCAGATCATCACACGTTAATTCACAAAACGTTCCTCCAATTATCACAATTTATGTCTTTCAATGTTGCTGTTTTTTTTTTATTTTGAAATTTTACAACTAAATTCTTTTAAAAAATCTCAAAATATTTCCAGATATTTCTCAAAATTTTAATTTGTTTACGGTAAAAAAAATATCACAGCTGCATTCTACAAATATTAAAAGTTAATTCACACTATTCTTAAAATGTATTTTAAATATTGTTTAACCTCCTAAAATATTTCAACTTAATTCCCAAAATATTCCATAAACAGCGTCAGCGACTGTTTTTATTTTTCTTAATAAACCAAACAGACGCTGCCACCGTGTTCAGAGGCAACACTGGTACATTTTTATTTTCATTATTTTTTACTATATTCTTTATTTTATACTTTTACTGTACGTTTTCGTGTTTTTTAATTTTAGTTTTCTATCATTTTTGACCCATTTTGAGCACATTTCTGAAATCATTTGCATCTTTTTTTGCTAATTCTTTGAGTCATTTTTAGCTCTGAGTCATTCTGGACACTTGTTTTGTCATTTTGGACAAATTCTGAGTAATTAGGAACGTTTTTGCATCATTAATTTAAAAAGAAAAATCCTTTTAAAAACAGTTAAGTGCCTGTTTCTCTGTCATTTTAAATAGATTGTGGTTCATGCTGGTAATTTTTAAGCACTTCTCCTACAACCAGCTCTGAGCATCAGTATTATGGGATGCATCAGTAAAACTGCAGCAGGTTAACGTCCGCCGGCGTACGTCTGAATGTGAAGCTCTTTGGTTTGGAGCAGCCTGAATGTTGTCCTGGCCTGTCACACAGTGTGTCCGTCTGTTGTCAGTCTGACTCCAGGTCAGTTTTTGCAGCTGGAATCGTGTTTTTCCGTCGCCGTCGGCGGGCGGAGGATTAAAAACACGCAGCAGACTGAGGATCTGCAGCTGAAGCGTTAGACGAGGCCGCGGCCGGTTTAGAGGGTTCAGAGCTCCTCGGTGTGTGTTAGATCTTTGCATTGAGACTTCAGGATCTCATACTGTACCGTGTGTTTGGGAAGGTTCACCTGGGAACAAGAGCGCCCAACACACGCTCCTTTGGGAGGCCTACGGCAAAGAACACATGCATGTACAGCCATGGGGCAACATGAGCATTACAACAACACACACACACACACACACACATACACACACACACACACACACATACACACAAGGCAGAACTGCACATGCATGCAAACACTAAGCATTTGACCTGCAGACGCACAAACCTGATGGAGAAACAGCAGAAAATCCAACTAAAAAAAACTCCATCTGACCTCCTCAGAACATCTGGTTCTGGTTCTGCAGCACCTTTACCTACTGACCAGAGTTCCAGAACCTTGAAGTCCACAGAGGAGGGTCCAGATTTATCCCTTTAATGGACTTTTTCCATCATTTCTGAGCCTCAGAACTTCATCAGTACAGCAGATAGACACATGACATTTAGGAGGAAGAACACATCTGGGTTCTGCTAGAACCTGACACCAGATCAGTTCTACGTCCGTCCAGGTGTCGCAAAGCAAAGACAGAAAAAATCTGGACAGATTTCACGTCTGTGAGTGATTTTAGATCAATTGTTTGGTAAATTTGGGACAATTTTAGTGTAATTTCAGACAATATTCATGTAGTTTAATGAAGAACACATCTGAGTTCTGGTAGAACCTGACACCAGATCAGTTCTACGTCCGTCCAGGAGTCTCAGTCTGAAGAATAAATGTGTCAGTGTTAAAATATGCACTGAATCGTTTCTGTTAAATGTTCCTGGTATCACATGTGGGTTAAAAACGAGACCTTTAACTTGAAATTTGTCCAAAATTATTCAAAATTTGACAGGAAAAGACTCAAAAATGAGTTTTAAGGTGAAAATTAGAGCCCTCATTGGCTATAACTCGTCCAGACCGACCGTCTGTCTCGCGTTACTCGAAAAAGACTTTAAAAAATGTCCAAAATTATTCAGAATAAAGGTTAAACATGACACGAAAATTGTCAAAAAATACATAAAAATTTCCCTAAATTACAAATTCCTAAGAATTTAAAGAAATTTGACCAAGATGATGTTAAATTGGGCAAAAATTACTGAAATTATTTTTTAGATAAAACAATGTGACTTTTCTAGACGAGGATTCTGGTATCAAGCGTAGATAAAACTATCCTTTCATTGTCTTGTTCCGACCGACCACACACACTAACGAAGGCTCAGAAAAGATTGAAGAAAGTAAATTAATAAGCTTGAAATTTGGACCCACCCACAAATCTAATGAAGCTGCTCAAAAATGGTCCAAATTGGCTTAAAAACAATCTGAAATATTCAAAAACCTGATGGAAAATTAAATAAAAACTTAATTAAAAGTCCAGAATTTGTTGAAAATGACCAGAAACTGTCAATAAGAATTTTCTGCTGTTTTCTGTGAGTCGTCCTGCAGCTCTGATTAAACACTAGAAGCTCTGAGAGGATCTACTTCCTGGTTCTGTCTGGACCGGCTCGGTCCAGGTGCATCTCTGAGGCCTTCACCTGTAAAATGGCTCCGTAGAGTCTCAGCAGGACGTTTCTGGGTTCGTCTCCGACTGAAGCTTCGCCGTCGGGGAGGCTGCAGAGGAACAGCTTGTTGCTCAGACCGCCTCTGGAGGACGACGGGACGTAAATTAATTAGATTCATTAGAAGGTCAGTTCAAACGTTCATGTTTTAAACGTCAGCAGCTCAGAAAATGACATCATCCAAACTCTGCGTTCTCATGTTAAACTCTCTCAGAACGTGTTTTCAGTTTAAATCGTTCATGTTGAGATGCTAGTTTACGATTTCAATCATTTACAAATATTTTGAGTTTACAGTTGTGTTTGTTTTCTTTAACGTTTTTAGTTTACAATTCAATAATTAGTTTTACTTCAGCAGTTCATTAAATATTCTTTGTTTACAATTTCATTACATGTTTTTTAGTTTAAAAATGTATGAATTTACATGT